AACACGAGGTGAGGTCGATTAAAAACAGGGAGGGTGGTGTATGGGGGGTCATGCCCGTCTTTTGTCAAAAACTGCTGAACACTCAGCGCGGTGTGGGCAGACGTACATCAATCTAACGATGTGAGGAACAAATTTTGCTGCAACTCGTATCATGTATAAAACCTCCGATAAAATCCGGCTGTCAGGAACTCCACGACACTCAGTCAACCCCAGAAGTTCATGAATGGACCGATGACGGTTATCAAAGACGGCTTGACGAACTCTTGCCACAGTCTCTTGCTGGTCGAAGGACGCCAGGAACGAGGTTAATTGTCAATAAATATTTCACCTTGATAAAAAAAAAAAAAAAGATTCGCAAAGTTGTGTTTTACTCGGAGCAGCTTCCTTATAAGCCGACTGTAATATAACGACCGTTTCCGCCGCATTTTTCAACAGGAAACAAAATTTCACCGCCGCACGTTGTTTGTATAAATAAGTCATCACAAAAACTAAAGCAGAACGCAATGTCTCATAAGAACGCTGACTGCTGCAGTGATGCAGCAGACAGGTGCCTAAAAAACGCTTCTAGCGGGGAAAACTTGCACTACAAGGAATTCGTTGCCTAGAAAATAATTCTGGCTGCTTTTATGACCCCCTGACCTCGTATTGTACTAAATTACTTCTAGGGTAGTGTCCATCCCGTGACATGCGTGCCCTATCCATTCTCTCCTCTGTAACCGCGGCCACAGTATAATTATAACCCATAACGAAAACCAGAAAAACAATCATAGGAGTGCACAGTCCACATACACAAAAAGGAGCCGGGGGGGGGGGGGGGGGGGGGGGAAGGGATGTCACGACGAAACGGGGTTGGCCCAGGTGAAAGTCGTCGTGACTCCCGCCAGCGACCTCAAGGTTTCGAGTGTCGCCTTGACATAGCTTCCAGAGACCGAAGCTTCGGTGACACATGCTCGCCCCCCCCCCCCCCCCCCCCCCCCCCCCCCCAATTCGCGTTTCCTTTCCACGCCACTTATCCATTGGGGACGGGGAAGAAAACGGGTAAACAAAGAGCAAGGCCGACAACCCCCAAACGCTAAGTGGGCCCCCAGTTCTCCCCCCCCCCCCCCCCCCCTTTCCCTCTGGTTTCCCAGTAGGGCCTTTTTTCTCTCCAAGCTCGCCAGCGGCGATGCGGACCCAAAACATTTCCTTGCAAATTTTCGAAGAGGAAAGGGAAGGGGGAGAGCTGGCGAGGCATCCAGCGAGCCCGGAGAGGAACGACGCCCATCCCGAGGCAGCGAGAGATTCCTCGGCCGTTCCTGCGCTCCTCCGCGCGGAAAGTGGCCTCTTTAAGGAGGTGAAAGAGGGGAAAGGAAAGGGCGGCACACGTGGTCTATGACGTAGGCGGAAAGGAAACCCCCCCCCCCCCCCCCCTTCCCTCACCCCCACCCTTTTCATTCCCCCCAGCCCCCCACCCGGTGGCTACAGTCAGCGTCTTCGCGTTCGCTTTCTCGACCCTCGTTCGTCCAAGTACCGCTTTTTTGCTCGAGTTGCGTAGCGGCACGCGGCACGCAGCGCGCAACAGACAGTGTGCCGAGAGCGCCGAGGATAGCAGCAACGTCGCGGAACCTGGCGTTTTGTCGCCTGTCCATGCGGGCCGGCGTCTCAAGCGTCTCGACAGCGCGCGTGCGGATGCGCCAGCCGCCGGCCAAGCCACGGTGACACAGGTAAGCCCGTGCAAGGCCTACGCTCTCGCAAAATCTTCAGCAACTGCCCGAGCAACCCGTGCAGCTGCTGTGTGAATTTGTGCGGTGCGTTGCTAAAGGTGAAAGACACGCGTACCGGTGAACGCGATACGAATCGATCGCAGTCGTAGCCTGTCACGTGTGGTGTGATCTCAATGATTCCGGGTAATCGGAACCCTGGTAAACTGAATGAAACCAGGAGAGCTGATATCTGCCGGAACCATACCGTGGCTGAGATGGCGGGCAGGTGGACATGTCCACACGGGACACGTCTTCCTGCTCCTGTTTTTGTTTTTCAGTGACGCCGCCTTTGGAGCTCGAATAATGCTTGCCGGAGAACCCGCCGCGGAAAACAGGGTTGTCATTCGCGTTTAGCTGAGCAGAACTGAGTACCACCGGCTCCTCGCAAAGACCGGAGCAGTTGTCCGGCCTGGACACTTTAGCAGCACCGACATAAAATAGATACGAAGACGTCCACGTAACTTGGCCTCGTACGCGCATCTCCTAGAAATCGCCATTCTGTTTTGTTTCCGCGGCCCTACCGACTCCGTTGCTGCCACTCCAAAGCTCTTTTGCAGTCACGAACGCGAGAGTTACGTGAGTTCCGGGTTCGGCTCTGCTGAAAGCAAAAGCCGGGCAAGTGTAAGAGTAACCTAGAAAAATGAGCGCGCACAGACGGGCTCTCCGGTTGATCAAGAAGTCCAAATCTCCCGCCGCCGGATATTTATGGCCTGGTCGTCGCTGTTACGTTCTCGAGACGCCTGCCCAGAGTGACGTTTCCGGGAACCGCTGTCGCTTCACGGAGTGACAGCTTTTCGGCGCCCGGTTTCGTTCTATTTTTCTTTTTTTTTTGTGTCGTACGTTTTACGGGGCGGGCCATTACCTCACGTCACCCCCGAAGGAGTTTGTCCCCGCAGGATCGCTGGCCTGTGTGCATGTATAAGAAAGCGAATGCTTCATAGAGAAACATGGTATTCAACGGAAATTCTTAAGCTATACCGGGACTCCGATATACCAAGCCGTGTTCGCGAACTGAATTCCTGCGTGCGGTCTTCGACGCGTGAATCACATTTCCAGATCGCAGTCGCACCGCCATATGCGGCCTACATGCTTTGAAAGAATAAGCCGACCATGTATGGTCAAAGAAGTGCCCATTGTAGGTTGGCAAAGTATTCGTCTTTCGATGTACAGGAAAAGCCACTGAGTTGTTTTCGTCACATCATTCAGTAATATGCGTTGGAAAAGAACATTAAAAAATAACCATTATATCTCCATTATGTTAAAAAGAAAGGCAAATTATATTTATTAATTCATTCCAAAATTTCCAATGCACGTATGCAGTGCATGAAGAGTTAAATGGGAGCCCTGTTGCAAAGAAGACATGTCGTTTCCGTGGCTCATTCCTGACTCTCATAAAGGTGTCCATGTGTGCTGATACTGATACCTCAGACGTGCACCTACCGGTGCGACACACCAAGTTTATACTAATATTACAACTATAATCCTTAGGCAATGATGATGACCGAGTGTGAGTTGTCGGTACCGTTGAATTAGAATACTTAGCATTGCATGTCACAATATTGAGTGGTAATAATATCCACATTAAGACAGCCCCATCGAAACATCGCATGCTTGATAGAGAAGAATTTCACTCGTTGGTGTCTATGAATGCATTGCCCCTTCCCCTCGCCATCCTGAATAGCGAAACTCCCGGTATGGGCAATGACGCTGTTCTGCACTCGCCACGCCATTGAGAGGTGTTCACGTTTTATATGTTATTGCCACTAATTCTTATTCTGTCTCGCTCATACTTTTTTTTATTTTACATCTTTTTGAGGTTGAGATGTGTTATTATTAGCTTACACGTTTACTCTCTTCCCTGCCAAATGGTTTACATAATAAGTATGAATATGTAAACCAAGTGGGTCAGGGAAAGAGAGTAAACGTGTTTTGAGGGATCTTACCCTGAGAGCTATCCGATTTGAAATGTTTTGTTTTATTTAAGAATAGAAATTCGACGGAAACGAGACGAAAGATGTCTTGTCCGTTCCTTTGTTTATTCTTTCAGATGTATTAGAAATTGACCTTCGGCAAAGGTTCATGTTACCTTCAGCCGGGGTCACACTGTTTATACACCATACAAAAGGCAGTCTGTACACAGTTTCGAACGCGAGATCCGTGCTTCGAATGCCGCATGGCAATAAGTCCAAGGAGAAACTTGGCACACGGCATTCGAACTACGGATATTGAGGTGACACGTGTGTACAGACTGTCTTTTGTGTGATGGATGACCAGCGTGACCCCGGCTTTATACAAGTGGAGAAAGTGTGTCTGTGAGGTAACATCCGATGCGGTGAAGCTCGAGGCAGTGGTCGGCAACGATAAAGGTGAAACAGTTTGCACGGTGTCAGCGGCCGATCGAATGAATTGCGATGAGATCCCTGGCGACACGGTTAGACGTCGACGGCCAGTATTGGCGACGTGCGCGATCGAAAGCGTCGCTGTGGTCGGACTTCCACGATTGGTCGAATGCTGATTATGACGTCAGCAAAGGATTTCTCATTGACGAAAATAAGAGGAATGTAAGAGCTTGAATTTTGACGGTGTTGGCAGTGTCGCTTTGAGAGAGTGATGATTTCAAGCTTCCTCCATACTAATTGCAAACACCATCGAACTTGTTGTCAGCAAGGTAATGACGTCACGAGAGGGAACCGTGGGAGGGCGCCACCAAAGCATCTCGCCGCTAATAGGAGGGCGGCACAAAAATATCTTGCCACTAATGCAGTCAAAACCTGCACTTGGATTAAATTTCCACCAGGCCTGTGATGCGTTCCCAAACCATCCTTAGTTACTCTGTTAAAAAAAGTAGAAAAAACTTTCAGCCTTTCCGATTTGGTGAAGAATAAAGACCAGCGGAACTGTACAATAGAAAGTGATGGCCGGCCGCAAGTCGGCAAGCCAGAGTGGAAAGGCTGCCGCCATCTATGAGCGACGGCGGCGACCAGATACGTGGCTTGCCGCCGTCGCTCATAGATGGCGGTAGGTGTCCAGAGTTCGGTGTCTTCATTTCTTTGCGGGGGACACGATCCTGGGGAAACTAGCCCTTAACAGCTCCGCTGTAAAAACCGTATTTTTTTTGTTTACACAACATCTCCAGCTAAGTTACGGAACGAGAGAATTGGTCGATTGATGGTTGTGGTTTCAAGTCGATACCTTTGTTATTGGCTCTTCGAGTCGCGAAGAACACAGACATAAGAAAAAATCAAGCAGTTCATTAGGAAAGGCGAAGGGATCAACCGTGCACGCTGAGGATGGTTTGCCGGCCCCACTTCCAGGCATTCTTGAAGTGTGTCTTACATTTTTTTGACGGGCACTGATTCTTTTTTTTTTTTTTCTTGATCTTTTATTTTCTCCGAGGTATTCAAACAAAACAAAAACCATCTTGGAAGATGATATATATATATATATATATATATATATATATATATATATATATATATATATATGTGCGTGTGTGTGTGTGTGTATTTATTTATTTATATATACCATCTTCTGACGAAGCCGAGCCTCTCGGCGAAACTGTCGTAATATATTCAATAAACTTCCTAGCATAGCAACTCTCAAAGTACGGATCTTTGACTTATATATATATATATATACAGGGTGTTTTTTTAAGCTTAACAGAATTTAAAAAAAAATAAACATGAAAGCTAGATTAATGCGGTCTGCGCAGGTGAGTTATATGGCCAGGGGGACATAATATAGGAGGCTAATCGTAACGATCAGTCGGCTAATTAGTTAAAATTCGTTAATGTACTTTTTAATTAAAGAAAATAGACATATAGTCCCAATTAGAAACTTGCTCAGCGTCATCGAAAACCACTAAATCAGTCATTTTCAGTAAAACTTTCAGCGCGTGAGAAGCTTAGTAGCGCACTAAATTTAGCACTTGTGGAGCACGTAAAAAACTAACGCCGAACGGTTGCGGTAAGGCGCCCGCGCAATTTTTCCGTCTCTTATCTAGCCCCAGCCTTGTACCTGCTCCACGAGCGGTAACTTTAGTGCGCTACTACGCTTCTCACGCCTTCAAAGTCTTTCTGAAAATTGCTGATTTAGTGGTTTTCAATGACGCTGAGCGAGTTTCTGATTGGAAGTTTATGTCTATTTTCATTAATTAAAAAGTTAATTACCGAATGTTAACTAATTAGCCTATTGATCGTTACGATTAGTCACCTATACTATGTCCCCCTGGTCGTATAACTCACATGCGCAGACCGCATTAACCTAGCTTTAATGGTTTGTTTTATAAAAATTCTGTTAAGCTTAAAACAAAAAAAAAACACCCTATATATGCGTCGAAATTCCTATAACTCCGCGACAACTTTTCTTGGCAATGCAGTGAAAGGTACAGGCCCGTTTCCCCTCTCCCATTTTGAGTGTACGCAGGCTCTCCTCCTCCACCCATTTCCGGGGAGAGGAGGAGAGCCCACGCACACTCAAAATGGGAGTGGGGACGCGGGCCTGTACCTTCCACTGCATTGCCAAGAAAAGTTGTCGCGGAGTATAGTTTTCCTTTCGCACGCGTGATAGCAGTCTATCTCGATGTTCGCGCGGCAGTCCACTACAGCAGGATCGGGCGGCACTGGTCGCTATCTAGGCACCTCATAGAGCCGTTCGTTATCCATTGCCTCCGAATGCAGTGGGCGCAATAAATAGATATTGGCTAGACTAGGAAAATAAACCGGCGCGCCGTCCTGTTCCCGTTTCCTGCCACGTGCTCTTCGTGCCCGCTTCCTTCTGGTCGGGCGTCCGCCGGACGGCTCCTTCGAGGTCTGCGCGCGCGGTTCCTTCCCTGCCCTTAATATCTCGCCGAACATTACAGGAGAAATTGCCGACCCGCCTTCGAAGAAAGGCTCCGCGCGTGCGCTTTCCTGCCGTGGGATCGAGGCCTGGATGGGTTTCCCGGGCCAAAGAGCGAAGTT